AAAGTAGTTTTTGTCTTGCATAAAGAATTTGGTGTTATTTGCACGATAGAATAGAAAAGAGAGAAAGAAACAAGATATCGTGAGGTAACAGGGAGATTGTGGATTCCCTGAAACTGAAACAAAAGTTTCCGCGCTGAATATTGTTGACTGCACATGTTTATGTCTTGTTCTTTTCATTAGATCTCTATCTAACGTATCTCCCGTCCAAGTTTTGATGGCATTTGCACATGTTTCATGATAACAAAGACAGATATATGATTAGACAAAAAAAAAAACAAAAACTAAGAGGGGGAAAAGGAGTTGATTAGAAAACACTGTCCATTATGACCATATTGTAGCTTTTTTCTTTTATCTAGCAAGCACGCATTTGTAATACTCGATTGTTGGCCAATATTATTATGTTGTCTATCATATTAAATTTGTTTTGAATGTAAAAATAATAATTAAGTATTGCTAATGTTTTTATATGGTAGAAAACAATTTAAATAATGTGAATGTTAATTTAATATAATCTAATCGACTTGATGAGTTCAAAAATAGTTTGGATAACTAATAAAAACATAGTTTGACTAAAAAAATTTAAAATGATTTTTTAAAAAAAAAACTATTGAGATAGCAACATATTGATTTGACTCAAATTAACTTGGGTTAACTTATCAAATTTGCGACTTAGATCAAATTCTTATAAAGTAAATCAAAACAAAATATGAAGTTTAGTTCTCAATCAATTTAATATTAAATAATAAAATTCAAAAAATATATTTTAAAAAGAACAAAAAAATACTGAATCAACAAGAGTTAATCTGTCAAATCTATAATCTGAATCATGAAACCGAGATAGCTCTATTAAAATAAATTAAAATAAATTATAAAACACAATTTCCAATCAATCCAATATTGAATGATAAAATTAGCACAATTTCCAATCAATCCAATATTGAAGGATAAAATTAAAAAAATTCAATTAAAAACAACTCGAGTCATCCAAAGTTAACCTTCCAATGATTTGCGTCATGAGATAAGAATAACCTTATAGCATAGAAAACAAATAAAAAAACAACTCGAGTTACCTTGCCAAACTTGCAACTCAGGTCACAAGAGCGAGATAACCTAATTTATGAAACATAATTCCTGATTAACCCATTATTGAAGAATGAATATAAACCCCCAATTAAAAAAGTTAAAGGATTAAATATGTTGATTTGGTTTACCATGGAGTGGACTGCAAACTCCCGGTAGAATTTTATTATGTTAGTAAAAATATCAGAAATTAAATTTAATAATGACATGGGTTAATTAAATATTTAAAACGGAAAGAATAATAAATCATTGAAAAGAAATTTTCCAATGAATGAATATTTAGACAGATATTTTAAAACCGGGCGAGACATGATTCTGATTAAATGAAAAACATATGAAATAGGTATAAGGGCATTATGGTCTTTGACCACACATAAAAACACTAAAGCTTTTTAAAGAAGCTTGAGGCTGACATCACCATAAAAAGAAAAGGAAGAGGTTTTTTTATTATTATTTCTTTACCAAATTCTTAAGGGGAAAACACAAAAAAAAAATAAGAAAAAGAAGAAGAAAAAGTAGATTTAAGGGGTTAAAAGAGAAAAGCCTAAGATTTAAAGGTTTTTTAAGGATGTAAAGTAAGAGTTTTGAAAGGTAAAAACAGGAGTGAAGAGTATTGAAGGAGAAATTTGAGTTTCTTTACAATTTCTCCATTGATTTCTCATCATTGAGAGGTAAGGAACCTTATTTATTAATTAATTGATGTTTTGATGTGTTTATGAGCATATTATGATATATACATTATAGAAAGTTGAGTTTAATATATTGTGTTATTTGGAATGATATTTTTAACTTAGAATTATGTTTTTGGACAAGAATAAGGTTCGTGTTAAGTGAGAATTGTGGAAAATTAGAAAGAAAACATGTCTCCTCTTTTGATGATTTTGGCCTAGCTAGACAAATGGGGAAATAAATTTAATTATTTTAGTTGTTATAAAATTTGGATTGAATTGTGTTACTATATGTATAAAAATAAAATGATAAGAAGTAAATGATAAGAAGTAAATGATATAAAAGCTTGAAGAAAACCTTGTGTAATTATCGGCAACATAGGTTCGGTCTATGGAATCTTTAAAAGGAGGGGATGAAATTGATTTCAATGTTATGTGAAATGATGTTGAAATTGTATATGGGATGAGGTAAGTTGATTTATAAAAAAAGAAAAAGAAGTTGAAGAAAAACTAAAAAGAAAAAACATATGGTTTCTTAAAATGGAAGGAGGTGCATTTGGTCAAGGACTTCTATGGTTAATTTTTTTGGGATGGAAGAAAGTTTCCATTTAACTATAAATGTGTTGTGTGATGTGGTAAATTAGTTGGAAATATAAAATGAATTGAGAAAGAGGAATTTATTCCATGTATTATATAGAAATAAGGAAAATTGTTATTTTAAATCTTAGATATGATTTCTAATTTTATGAAAATAATAGTAATAAAATTAGTTTTGTGTTAACATGGGCAAAACAATAGTAATGAAATTAGTCTTGTGCTAACATGGGGTATTTTAGTAGCTATACCTCGTGTCGGAGGAGGTGCAAGATCATCATGTATGGCAAGTAGGTGTCTAACATCTATTTTTAGTTAATTATTATGCTAATAGAATTGTTAATTTTATTTCTTAATAATTTCTAAATTGGTATTAAAAAATAAATGAATTGGTGAAAAAAAAAATGAAAGAAGAATTGAGATTTGGTTAGTTATATATGGTATGAAGACTAATGATATCAGTTGGTTTGAAATCAGTATTGAATTTAAAGGAAAAAAATAAATTGATGAAAAACTTGATTAGTCATACAAAAAATAAAGACTAATGATGTTAATTATTATAAATAACTTGATTAGTTGTTTTCAATGCGGGAGATTGATGATGCCAGTAAGTTATGTTGATATAAATATTTACCTGGACTTGAATAGTTATTCCTGGTATGGGAGACTAATGATATCAATCAGTTATATTGGTATTGATATTTATATGAACTTGATTAGTCATTCCCGGTATAAAAGACTAATGATAGTAATAAAGTTTATTGGTATCGGCATGAACATGAAGGGAAAATATGGCAATGAATGATTAACCAATCCTGGAAAATGATAAAGGCTAATGATATTTATATGTATAGCATTGGCATGTACTTGGAATTTAATTAGCTATCCAATAGAATGGAAGCCAATGATAATAGGTAGATTGATATCTATATATCTTTTATCAAGTGTAATTGGGGTGATGATTAATGATATCAAATTAAAATTATTATTGACATTGATTAGTTGACATAAGTAATGGGTGACTAATGGTATTATGATGTTAATATTGGTAACTAGAGTAAGAAAGAAAATGAAATGATAAGGAATACATAATGAAATGCCTTACTTTTCAATACTTTTCAATTGGAAATTAATGAAAATAAAAAGGGAATTTAGTTATATTCTCTTGTATAATTATTTATTAACCTTTCCACTAATTTATGTTTTGTTTATTGTATTTGACAGGGTCATCACACTCACGTCAGGAATAGATTTATCTTATTTCTTTTGTTCACATAAATTAAATATATTATGTTCACTTTGGGCTATAATATATTTTGTAGACACATGAAATCATATATATGTCTTTTTATACTTATTCATCTTTATTATGCATGTTAAATTTCATATAAATTCTCTAACCTTATAATTAAAATATTATATAATTAATTTGGATGTTATTTGAATGAATTGAAATGAATGGTAATTGATTGATGTTGAATATGATACAAAATGATTAAGGAATTGAAAATCTGTATAGTAGTGAAACAAGTTTAAATTGATAACTTGGATATTTTGTTGTAGGAGAAATTCTGATGGAATTTCAGTAGACATTACGGTAGTGAACATATAAAAAGAATTCTAGTATTTCTAAAATTAAGAATTTATTTGTTTTGGGTGTTGCTATTACAATAAAATTGGATAAAAAACTCAATCTATAAAATCTATAAAATGTACATAATAAAATGACTCGAGTTAACCTGTAAGATTCATGATCCAGGTTTTGACATTAAGATAATCTAATAGAAAATGAACTAAAATAAATTAAACCCTAAATTGTAATTAATCTAATATTAAAAAAATTAAAAAAATACAATAAAAAAACTAAATCAATTAGTTAACCCACAACACAAGTTATGAGACTATAATAATCACGTATATAGAAAACAAACCATAATAAATTATAAAGTTCAATTTCTAATAAATTAAATCTTGAATAATAAAATTTAAAAAAATCAAAGAAAAAAGTTATTGTAATGAATAATGAATAATGTTTTGTAAAGTTGTACACACTAAAAATTAACATCACCTCTTTTATTTTATATAATTAATAATTAATAATCATTAATATTAATATTATAATAATCATTAATATTAATATTAATATTAATATTAATATAAAAGAATGAAGGGATGAAAAGCACATGTGGTTCCTCTACTTTAAAACGAATATTATTTAAAAAATTATAAAAAGTTTATGAGCACTTCATATTGTTATTATGATATAATTTGTTGCATGCAATTACTTCACTCGAATCTCATTATAGCAAGAGAAAGCAACGTGAGTGATTAACGGATTCCATAAAATAACTATTAATATATACTAAATTTCTACTAGACATGGTGAAACCTTAGGTATTTTCCAGGTTCATGTTTATGGAAAGATAGCATATGTTTCTCAGACTGCATGGATCCGGACGGGGACACTACAGGAAAGTATTCTGTTTGGGGCTGCAATGGAACCAGTAAGATATCAAGAGGTGCTTGAGAGGTGTTCTCCAGTAAAGGGCATTGAGAGTTTTCCGTTTGGAGACCTCACTGAGATCGGAGAGAGAGGTGTCAATCTGAGTGGTGGACAGAAACAACGGGTTCAACTTGCACTTGCACTATATCAGGTCGCCGATTTATATCTCTTGGACGATCCCTTCAGTGCTGTTGACGCACACACAGCAACAAGCCTTTTCAATGTAATTTTCATCTCTATGCAATCTTGAATGTTTAAGTTCCTAATGTTTTAGTTAAAGCTAGCGTGGCTTGTTGCAGGATTATGTGATTGGAACTTTGTCTGGAAAGACAGTCTTACTTGTGACCCACCAAATCGACTTCCTTCGAGCTTTCAATTCTATTTTGGTTAAATACATCTAATCCTGCTGCCAATTTCTCCACCATACTATTTAACTATTGAAGTATTATCCCAATTTGTTAATATGAGCTGCAAAATATCATTTTATTCAACTTCTTGACAGTTGATGACTGCTGGAGAAATCATAAGATCTGATACTTACGACCAGTTGATGGCTTCCAGCCAAGAATTCGAAGACCTCGTCAATGCTCACAAGAACACAGCTGGTCCTGATATACAAGTTGAGTATGCTGCGAGCAAAAGAGCCACAACTTCCCAAGGGGAAGAAATCCAGAAAGTTCATGTTACAGATAAGTTAAGAGCATCTTGGAGGGATCAACTGATCGGGCAAGAAGAACGAGAAACAGGTGGCACAGGTTTCAAGCCTTGCAAACAGCACCTGAGTCAGAGAAAGGGCATCCTTTATTTCTCTGTCAACTATAGCCCACATCATATTCACTCTTGGGCCACTTACACAAAGCTACTGGTTGGCTGCAACATTCAGAATTCTCATGTAAGCAGAGCAGACTTGTTCACAGGTTACTTAATGATCGGCTGTAGCTTAGCAGTCCTTTTACTCATCTGATCGTTCTTCACAGTTCATTTGGGTTGTGTAGCTTCAGAATCTATTTTCTCTACACTTCTTGTTACACTTAACGAACAAGAACAACAGCTTGCTTAAGACTACACAAAATGGTCAAGGTTGTTCCTTATTGAAATATAAGTGTGACTTCTTAAATAGCCTTACAATGATAACAGAAAACAAATAAAATGCAGCATTGCGAGGAATCTCACAAGATCAAGTAACAACATTCCTAGAAACTAGAACAACCCAATAGACTAGGACTTTTATTCTAACAGAAAAGACTTGGTAAACATCTTAATTTAAGCAACAAGCTTCATCAATCCCTCTCTTAAACTAAATGCAATAGCAATTTGTTTATTCATTCAATTTCGCACACTCCTAGTTCTTCTCTAAGTTTCTGAAATGTCTCCACCTTCAAAGCCTTCGTCATCAAATCTGTTATCTGCTCTTGAGTTCTACAATGCATCAGCTGAATAATATCATCATTTACTAGATCTCTTAGGAAATGGAACCTGACATCAATATGTTTGCTTCTCCCATGCATTACTGGATTCTTGGATAATTTGATCGTAGAACTGTTGTCACACCAAATGGTGGTGCATTCTTTTTGAGCAAGTCCTAAATTTTCCAAGACCCTTCTCATCCAAACAGCCTGACTTGCACAACCTGCAGCAGCCACAAATTCTGCTTCTGTAGTAGATAGTGTAACTATAGGCTGCTTTTTCGATAACCAAGAGACTGCTCCTGAACTTAATAAAAAAACATATCCAGAGGTGCTTTTTCGATCCTCTAAATCACCTGCATAGTCACTATCTGTAAATGCACGCAACTCGTCCATCCCTTCCCTTTTGTATAGAATACCAAAGTTGGTTGTGCCTTGCAAATACCTCAGTATTCTTTTGGCAGCTTGTAGGTGCAACTCGGTGGGCCTAGACATAAATCGGCTGATCAAACTTACACTGAACATCATTTATGGTCGTGTTGTTGTGAGATACATTAAGCTTCCTACAATTTGTCTATAATAAGATTCATCAACTTGTACTCCTTGATCATCCTTGTTCAGTTTGACACCTGGTACAATCGGGCTGCTAACTGGATTACTTTCTGCCATACCAAAACGCTTCAGCACATCAATAGCATACTTCTTTTGACAAATAAAATTGCCATCTGTTCTTTGTATGACTTCTATTCCAAGAAAAAATCGCATCTTTCCCAAATTCGTCATATCAAAAACATTCATCATTGAGTTTTTAAAACCATTCATCATGTCTTCATCATTTCTTGTATATATCAAATCATCAACGTAAATACTCACAATTATCACCTTGCCTTCTGCACCCTTTTTAATAAACAACGTGTGCTCATTTGGGCATGTTTCAAAGCCTTCATCTTTGAAATATGTTGCGATGCGACTAAACCATGCTCGTGGGGCTTGTTTAAGTCCATATAGAGCTTTGTGTAGTTGATAAACCTTTCCTTCACTGCCCTTCTTCTCGTACCTCTTTGGTTGTTCAACAAACACGTCTTCGCTGAGTTTACCATGTAAAAATGCAGACTTGACATCCAATTGATAGATTGTCCAGTTTTTTTGAGCTGCTAGAGCCACAATCATTCGTACAGTATCCATCCTTGCTACTGGGGCAAGCACTTCAGTGTAATCCACTCCATATTGTTGAGAGTACCCCTTGGCGACCAATCGTGCTTTATATTTGTCTACCTCTCCAAGCTCATTCAACTTAGTTTTGTAAAGCCATTTAACCCCAATTTTCTTGCAACCAGCTGGTAGATCTGTAAGTGTCCAGGTCTGGTTTTTCTCAATTGAATTGATTTCTGAATCCATTGCTTTTCTCCACCTTGATCTTGTTACTGCTTCTTCATAGTTTATAGGATCTGCACCTTGCATTAAAGCCATGTTAATCTCATTTTCTTCTTCATGACATTGATCCCTACAAACATAGTCTGACATCCATCTCGGTTTTTGTCTAGTTCTGCTACTTCTTGCTATGGACCCTTCTGCATTAGACGTGCCACTCACCACAATGTCCTCGGTTTCTGCAACTATGGCATCTTCATCCCTTGTCACTGCATCACTGTTAGGTGGGATTATTCTGTTAGTTGTGGTGTCACTCTCCATCACATCCTCATCTTCTACTACTGCATCACTGTCAACAGCTCCACCGTTGACTGAAACTGCTTCTTCATCATTTATGTTCGCTTCATCAATGTCTCCCCACTCAAGGTCTTGTAGGATTTGATCCTCATAGCTTGCATCCCAATTCCACTGCCTTGCTTCTTCAAATATTACGTCTCTACTAATTATTATTTTCTTTACAATTGGATCATATAGCCTGTATCCCTTAGATTCCTCGCTTACACCCAACAACACACAAACAAAGCTCCTGTTATCAAGCTTGGTACGTTTGGCTTCAGGTACATGTACATGTGCCAAGCAACCGAAAACCCTGAAATGCTCCACAGAAGGTTTAGCACCTGTCCATGCTTCTTCTGGAGTTGCATCCTTGACTGCCAATATGGGGCATCGATTCAGCACGTATATTGACCAATGCACTACCTCAGGCCAGAAAGATTTTGGGATTTTCTTTTCTGAGAGCATTGCCCGAACCATATTCATCACCGTACGATTTTTCCTCTCTGCCACTCCATTTTGTTGTGGAGTGTATGCTGTGGTCAGTTGTCTCCTAATACCATTATGCCTACAGAATTCTTTAAATTCATTTGAATTGAACTCCCCCCCTCTATCTGTACGTAGACAGTTGATGAACTTTCTAAGACATAATTAACCACAAAGGAGGGCTTTTTCCTACTTTTCATCACCAGTAACTTGAGGGTTAATTAGGTCTCCGAGGAGACAGCAGAAATTAAAGCAAGAACAGGATGTACCTTTGTGTATGAGCTTTCCCTTGCGCAGACAGCTGAAGTATATGAAGAGGCCTAAGGTAATCAGAGTTACTGGAACAGCCACAGACGAAAATACCTCTTCTTGCTGTTAGAAATAGGGGTCACTGGACCACAAATATCAGCATGCACAAGTTGTAATTTTTCAGTAGTTCTCCATATGCTCTTCTTTGGGATGCTGCTTCGATGTTGTTTTCCAATTAGGCAGTCAGTACAAGTCTCTGTGGTAGGAGTAAGTTTTGGCAGTCCTCGTACCATATTCTTGGTTTGCAGAATCTCCAGACCTCGATGGCTCAAATGGCCATACCTGCTGTGCCACAGGTGGGTGACATTTGGTGATGATGAGCTTGTGTGGAAGCAGGCATCATTTCTCTCTTGTGTGTTTGCCAACAGTATAAACATTTTATTTGCAGACATACTGGTTTGAATGATCATGCCCCTCTTTGGGTGATAAATCTTGCACATCCCGGCATGAAATAAAAATGAAAGTCCCTTCTCTTGCATTTGTCCCACACTCAGCAGGTTGTTGTGCAATTCTGGCACATAGAACACATCACTGATGATATGATTCATGCCATTCAATTTTAGTTTGATCTTTCCCTTCCCTTCCACAGAAATTTTAGTGTTATTACCGAGTTTGACTTGCTGCTTAAATCCCCTATTCAATTCACAGAACTTTTCTGCATCTCCGCTCATATGATTTGAACAACCAGAGTCCAAGAACCAAACGTCTCCACGTTTTACTTCATTCATCTCCACTAAAGACATTAACAACAATTCTTCATCTGCTTCAACATAATTAGCCTCCCAAGTTGGACATTCATATTTGTAGTGTCCAAGCTTGTGACATCTATAACACTCTATTATAGCTTTGTTGATAAATCCACGCCCTCTCCCGTATCCTCTTCCTCTATAGGTATTCCTGCCACGTCCTCCTCTGCCTTGTCCTTCATCAATTGTAACTTTCAAAGCTTGATCTTCACTGTTAGTTCTTCGAAATTTCTGTTCATGCACAATCAATGAGCTTTGTAGCTCATCCACAGAAAGGAGATCAATGTCTTTGGATTCTTCTATGGAACAAACAATGTAATTGAATTTGTCTGTGAGAGTGCGTAAAATCTTTTCTACTATCTTCACATCCTGCATATCTTCTCCATAATTTCGCATTTCATTGGCCACCACCATGACTCTGGAGAAATAATCTATGACCGATTCACCTATCTTCATTTCTAGCACCTCAAAGTCTCTACGTAGTGCCTGGAGTTGAGCACGTTTGACTCTCGTATTCCCTTGATATTTTGTTTTCATCGATTCCCATAGTTGCTTGGAAGTGTCTTTTTGAAGGATAGTCTTCAAGATTGACTTGTCAATTGACTGGAAAAGGTAGTTTTTAACCTTTTCTGACCCCTCTTTTTCCGAGCACCAATGTCCTTTTATGACTCAACCCTTCTCGGTAGAATACTGAATCGAGTAAGAGATCCAAAATTAACAGTTTCTTTCCATTTTCTATAAAACTTCGTGATAATAGGATATTTGTTTATATTTGTAGGTATCATCTTATTTGAAGCAACAACCTTCACTTCATTCATCAACTTTGTAGTGCTGGCTTTTCTTACCTGGCCAGTCTTATTTAGGTGAAAAATGGTTGAAATATAGTTTTGTGGTACAAAAACTCAGACTGTTC